TAAAAGGCTGGGAAAAGACTTTCCAATCAAACGGTCTTAAGAAACAAGCGGGTGTAGCCATCCTGATATCCAGCAAAATAGACTTCAAACTAAAATCAATCAAAAGAGATCAAGAAGGGCATTACATACTCATCACAGGAAAGATCCACCAAGATGAAGTCTCAATTCTGAATATTTATGCCCCAAACACAAAGGGCACCCACATATGTAAAAGAAACATTACTAAAGCATAAATCACATATAAAACCCCATACATTAATAGTGGGAGACCTCAACACCCCACTTTCACCACTGGACAGATCTCCCAAATTGAAACTTAACAGAGAAATAAAGGACTTAACTGATGTCATGACTCAAATGGACTTAATCAATATCTACAGAACATTCCATCCTAACAAAAAAGAATATACCTTCTTCTCAGCACCCCATGGAACCTTCTCTAAAATTGACCACATACTTGGCCACAAAACAAATCTAAACAGATACAAAACAATTAGAATAACCTCCTGTGTTCTATCAGACCACCATGGTCTAAAGTTGGATTTCAACAACAACAAAAACTACAGAAAACCTACAATCTCATGGAAACTGAATAAAACCCAACTGAATCACCAATGGGTTAAGGAAGAAATAAAGAAAGAAATTAGAGACTTCCTAGAGATCAATGAAAATGAAGACACCACATATCCAAATTTATGGGACACTATGAAAGCAGTACTAAGAGGGAAACTCATAGCACTAAATGCCCACATAAATAAGTTGGAGAAATCTCACACTAGAGACTTAACAGCATACCTGAAAGCTCTAGAACAAGAAGAAGCACAGTCTCCCAGGAAAAATAGACTCCAGGAAATTATCAAAGTGAGAGCTGAAATCAATAAAATAGAAACAAAGAGAACAATACAAAAAATTAATGAAACAAAGAGTTGGTTCTTTGAGAAAATCAACAAGATAGACAAGCCCTTATCCAAACTAACCAAAAGACAGAGAGAGAGCATCCAAATCAACAAAATCAGAAATGAAAAGGGGGACATAACAACAGACATTGAGGAAATCCAGAGAATCATCAGGTCATACTTCAAAAACCTCTATTCGACAAAACTGTAAAACCTAAAAGAAATGGATAACTTTCTGGATAGGTACCACATACCTAAGTTAAATCAAGACCAGATAAACTATTTAAATAGTCCAATAACCCCTAACGAAATAGAAACAGTCATTAAAAGTCTCCCAACTAAAAAAAGGCCAGGGCCAGATGGTTTCAGCGCAGAATTCTACCAGATCTTCAAAGAAGAGTTAATACCAATACTCTCTAAATTGTTCCACACAATAGAAACAGAAGGAACATTACCAAACTCCTTCTACGAGGCTACAATTACCCTAATTCCTAAACCAAACAAGGATACAACAAAGAAAGAGAACTACAGACCCATCTCCCTCATGAACATTGATGCAAAAAACTCAATAAAATACTGGCAAACAGACTCCAAGAACACATCAAAACAATTATCCACCATGATCAAGTAGGTTTCATTCCAGGGATGCAAGGGTGGTTCAACATATGAAAGTACGTCAATGTAATACACCATATAAACAAACTCAAAGAAAAAAACCATATGATCATCTCACTGGATGCAGAAAAGGCATTTGACAAAATCCAACACCCCTTCATGATAAAGGTCTCGGAGCGATCAGGAATACAGGGAACATACCTAAACATAATAAAGGCAATTTACAGCAAGCTAACAGCCAACATCAAATTAAATGGAGAGAAACTCAAAGCAATTCCACTAAAATCAGGAACGAGGCAAGGCTGTCCGCTCTCCCCATACTTATTCAATATAGTACTTGAAGTTCTAGCCAGAGCAATAAGACAACATAAGGAGATTAAGGGGATACAAATTGGAAAGGAAGAAGTCAAGCTTTCCCTATTTGCAGATGACATGATAGTATACTTGAGCTACCCCAAAGATTCCACCAAGGAACTGATACAGCTTATAAACACCTTCAGCAACATAGCAGGATACAAGATCAACTCAAAAAAATCAGTAGCCCGCCTATATACAACGGACAAAGAAGCGGAGAAGGAAATCAGAGATACATCACCCTTTACTATAGCCACAAATGACATAAAATACCTTGGGGTAACACTAACCAAGCAAGTGAAGGACCTATATGACAAGAACTTTAAGTCCCTGAAAAAAGAAATTGAAGAAGATGTCAGAAAATGGAAAGATCTCCCATGCTCATGGATAGGCAGGACTAACATAGTAAAAATGGTAATCTTTCCAAAAGCAATCTACAGATTCAATGCAATTCCCATCAAAATACCAACACAATTCTTCACAGACCTGGAAAGAATAATACTCAACTTCATCTGGAAAAACAAAAAACCCAGGATAGACAAAGGAATCCTGTACAATAACACAACTTCTGGAGGCATCACGATCCCTGACTTCAAGCTCTACTATAGAGCTACAGTAATAAAAACAGCTTGGTACTGGCATAAAAACCGACATATGGACCAATGGAATCGAATTGAAGACCCTGACATTAATTCCACACACCTATGAACATATAATTTTTGACAAAGAAGCCAAAAGTGCACAATGGAAAAAAGAAAGCATCTTCAACAAATGGTGCTGGCAAAACTGATTATCAACATGTAGAAGGCTGCAAATAGATCCATATCTATCACCATGCACAAAACTTAAGTCCAAGTGGATCAAGGACCTCAACATAAATCCAGCTACTCTGAACCTGCTAGAAGAGAAAATAGGAAGTAGTCTTCAACGCATTGGCATAGGAGACCACTTCCTAAATAGAACACCAGTAGCACAGACTCTGAGAAAAACAATCAATCAATGGGACCTCTTGAAACTGAGAAGCTTTTGTAGAGCAAAGGATACGGTCAACAGGGCAAAGCGACAGCCTACAAAATGCGAAAAGATTTTCACCAACCCCACATCTGACAGAGGACTGATATCCAGAATATATAAGGAACTCAAGAAATTAGACATCAAAATGCCCAACAGTCCAATTAAGAAATGGGCTATAGAACTAAACAGAGAATTCTCAACAAAGGAAACTCAAATGGCCGAAAGACATTTAAGGAATTGCTCAACATCCCTAATCATCAGGGAAATGCAAATCAAAACAACTCTGAGATACCACCTTATGCCTGTCAGAATGGCTAAGATCAAAAACACTGAAGACACCTTATGCTGGAGAGGATGTGGAGCTAGGGGAACTCTCCTCCACTGCTGGTGGGAATGCAAGCTTGTACAACCACTTTGGAAATCAATATGGTGCTTTCTTAGAAAATTGGGAATCCATCTCCCCCAAGATCCAGCTATACCACTCTTGGGCATATACCCAAGGAATGCTCAACCACACCATAAGAGCACTTGTTCAGCTATGTTCGTATCAGCATTGTTTGTAATAGCCAGAACATGGAAACAACCTAGATGCCCTTCAACTGAAGAATGGATAAACAAAATGTGGTACATATACACAATGGAATACTACTCAGCAGAGAAAAACAATGACATCATGAGGTTTGCAGACAAATGGATGGATCTAGAAAAAATCATCCTGAGTGAGGTAACCCAGACTCAGAAAGACAAACATGGTATGTACTCACTCATAGCAGGATACTAGACATGAAACAAAGATGACTTGTCTGCTACTCACATCACCAGGGAGGCTACCTGGAAAACAGGACCCCAAGAAAGACACAGGGATCGCCCAATGACAGAGAAATGGAATGAGATCTACATGAACAGCCTGGACATGAGTGGGGGTAATGAAAGGCGAGGGTCGAGGGAAAGAGAGCTTGGGGGAGCGAGAGATCCCAGCTGGATCAACAACAGAGAGGGAGAACAAGGAATAGGAGACCATGGTAAATGAAGACCACATGAGAATAGGAAGAAGCAAAGTGCTAGAGAGGCCCACAGAAATCCACAAAGATACCCACACAACAGACTGCCGGCAATGGTCGAGAGACAGCCCGAACTGACCTACTCTGGTGATGGGATGGCCAAACACCCTAATTGTTGTGCTAGAAACCTCATCCAACTACTGAGGGATCTGGATGCAGAGATCCATGACTAGGCCCTGGGTGGATCTCTGGGAGTTCAATTAGCGAGAATGAGGAGGGTTTATATGAGTGAGAATTGTTGAGACCAAGGTTGGATAAAGCACAGGGACAAATAGCCAAATGAATGGAAACACATGAACTATGAGCCAATGGCTGAGGGGTCCCCACTGGATCAGGCCCTCTGAATGGGTGAGACAGTTGATTGGCTTGATCTGTTTGGGAGGCATCCAGGCAGTGGGACCAGATCTTGTGCTCATTGCATGAGTTGGCTGTTTGAAACCTGGGGCCTATGCAGGATTGTTTGGCTCGGCCTGGGAGGAGGGGACTAGACCTACCTGGACTGAGTCTACCAGGTTGACCTCAGTCTGTGGGGAAGGCTTTGCCCTGGAGGAGATGGGAATGGGGAGGGGTTGGGGGGAAGGTGAGGGGGACGGGAGGGGGGAGAACAAGGGAATCCGTGGCTGATATGTAGAACTGAATTGTATTACAAAATAAATTAAAATTAAAAAAAAATAATTGCATGTGGTAATATTTTGTATGATCTCTGTAACTTTTATGCACATTTGAAACTATTCTGAAAACTGAATTGTATTAGAAAACACTTTAAATTAAGCCCCATTTCTATGTCCTAGTACTTGTTATTGAGTTTCTTGTTTGGGGTCATGAACTCAGGCTCACAGATGCTGCAGAATGATCTCTGAATGAGTTCCCAATTGCTTAACACAACAACCTTTGACTGGTTGTTACATTTTTTCTTCCAGTCAGTAGTGAGTTTCACAACGAACTGTGGGGTGTTACTGATTTCTTTGCCTGCACTATAAATATTACCCTCACCATTTGGTCGAAGCTGAAAAGGTGGCTAAAGCTGTATCCTAACAGCACCCACAAAGAGCAATTTGTCATGTCAGAGTACCTTTGGTTTGAAGGGATACCTTTCCCTACTGAAGAGTATGAAAAAGAAACAATTGAAGAATCTCGTGATAAGTTTGTGATCAGAGATGAAGACACAGTCTTAGTGACTTACCCTAAATCAGGTAAGAACTGTTAGTGAGAATAATCCTGAAGTGTATGAGGAAGGATAAGGCTTTGATACTCATTCATTTGGGCGATGAGTGACCTGCTCTATATATCTGATGTTTAAAATGTTTTGTGGGCATGGATTGCTGTGTGTGAGTGCATTTTCACTCAGACAAAGAACTCCAGCCTGGTCTGTGTGGGGAGAGGGCTCATCTAGGCCATGGTAGCAATGCCAGTGGATCCTAAGGCAGACTCTGGTATTGTTCTGTCTCTGTGTGGAGGAGAGTGGAAGGGGGAAATGAGGAAAATAAACAGAAGAAATAGCACCAAGGCATAAAGGCATGGATGTAAGAATATGTGGAGGAGAGGATAATGTCAGGTAGAAGAAGAATTACCGTGGACCTTGTCCAGGAAGTGAAAACAGTCTCAAAACTCAAGAACCAAAAAGAAGCATCATGGGCTTTGGGGAGAGTTGTTTGCTGGGTGGCAGAAACAGTGAACACAGGTAAGTTTTAGGTTACTGACACTGACAGTGAAAGAACTTGGAAAAGCCAAGGGCGGTGGAATGCATGAAGAAGATTCATACAATGGCCCAGAGCAGAGAGCTAGAGAAATACCCAAGGACAAGTGAACATGTAAACATAAAAACAAATGTGTGTGGTAAATAGACAGAAGGGGATTTATTCACCTAAAGAGAAGCAGTACTCATACACATACTGCAGCATGGATGCATCTCAATTGCTTTGCATTAAAAGAAAGTAGCCAGTCTCAAGGACAGAGTCCACAATTATACCCCTGTGAAGTATCTGGGAAAGTTGAACTCACAGCACAAGAATGTAGAATGATGATGGCCCAGGACTTGGCACTTTCAGGTGGAGTTTATTGAGCATAGTCTCAGTTTCTCCATGTGAAGCATTGGCAATGTACTGAATGAATATACTTTGTACTTAGAGCATGTGGACATTGTGAACACCACAGGTCTGTGTGCTTGGAAACAGCTGCACTGTAAATTGTACAGGTGTACAATTTTCTTCTTGAGGCTTTTTAACAAGTACTGTTGAAATGAGTGACCATTATGTTTCCTTCTTCAGGAAGTAACTGGCTAATTGAGATTGTCTGCCTGATTCAGACCAAGGGGGATCCCACTTGGATCCAGTCTGTGCCTATCTGGGACCGCTCACCCTGGGTAGAGTCACAATATGGATATCCACTATTAATAAATAACAAAGGACCACGCCTCATCAGCTCCCACCTTCCCTTCCATCTTTTCCCCAAGTCATTCTTCAGTTCCAAGGCCAAGGTCAGTGTCCAGTGGTTGAGAAATCTTTGACCAAATGCTCTTTGAACTTCATCTACGTTGATGGGCCCTGGAGCTCTTGCTGAAATGCACTCGGATTGTGTAGGTTGTGGGTGGGAACATGAGATTCTCATGCACTAAGTGGTGCAGATGTGTGTCCACCTCAGACTACATCAGAGTACCAGATTGTTAAGTACTACACAGTGATCCTGGGCAGATAAATGAGAGAAAGTGAAATATCAACTAGAGCATTCAGGAACTACAGATACAGGTCAAGCAGAGGGCACACTCTAGTGTACAGTGGACATTACTGTTTTGCTGTCATCAAAGTCAAATAGCTAATCTTGATTCTACATAAATCTCGTGAGCAGTGTGTGAATCACCCCAGATAGAGTTGCTCATAGGAAAGCAGCCTGACCAGGCATCAGTGCTCTAATCATGGAGATTGTTCAGCAGTCATGGCTCATCTGTACCCACTGTGTGTTGCTCTATCTAGGTGTCCATTGATGTGATTAGCCACAAGAATCATACACATCACTGATTGAGGATCTCTAGAAGGGATCAGAAATATCCAGGTTCTGACCTATCATAGTTTCTTGTTAGTAAGAAAGTTTTTTGGAAGTCCCTGCACCATGGAGCCTAAACATATTTTATGCTTAAACTGCAAAGACAAACTTAGAAAAATTTCCTCTCTTGAAAATATCATATGGAAGTTGTGACCATTCAGTTAAATGCATGTGCATTACTAGGATTTGACACATACTTAGCTGGGAAAGTTGGGGCCTAAAGAGTTGAATTCTAGAATAATGTCACAAAGAGTGTTGACACAAAATATAAATTTCCTTTTATTAAAAATATTTATTTTTATTTTGTTTCTTTCATTGTTTGTAATTATAATATAATTACATACATCATTCCCCCTTCCTCCCTCCAGGCTTTCCTTCTTTCTCTCTTTCATATTTGTGGTCTCTTTTTTCTTTAATTGTTGTTATATCTGTATATGTATCTATGTACTTCTCAATATTTAAATGCAACCTGCTCAGTCTATAAAATGTTATTGTATGTATGTATGTTTTCAGGGCTGAGCACTGGGAATTGCATAACCAACCAGCTGTTATGCTTTTCCCAGGGAAAGTCTATTTCTCCAACTCTCTGCATATCTGAGTTGCCTGTAGGGCTTTGTGTTCACTATTGTGCAATGACACACTGGCTTTGAGCTCTGCATCATGATTCTTTTGAAAATTATATTTGGTAGTTACAGTTGTGGAAAAGAATTAGTTTCTCATTTTGTAGATAGATTTAGTACAGTACTCATCTTTGAGTATATAAGATGTTCTTTCATAGTGGATGGGTGGTTTTTCACACTGTAAGATATTGATCTTTACAACTAGAGAATCAGTCTTGGATTTTTGTTATTGTTGTTTTGTTTTTTAAAGTATTAGTGGCCTGAGTAATTTTGCTGTTACATGTTTGTAAATGAAATAAAATTATGAAAGAGGATTCTCACTATAGATATTTTGCACTTATGTAAATATTTTGTCAAATAAAAATAATTAATGTTTTTAGAAACCTCATGGAGATTTGATTGACATTTCATATAAATTGTGCAAGTTAAATGGTTTCAAATGACTATGTTGACCTTCATGTACATGTTTTTCTGTTTCAGGTGATCTATTTAATCAGAAATCCCAGAGATGTTCTTGTGTCTGGTTATTTTTTCTGGAGTAAGATGAAATTTGTTAAGACTCCAGAGTCACTGAGAACTTATTTTGAATGGTTCCTCAAAGGAAATGGTGAGTGTCCTATTAAATATAGGGCTTCGGTGAGCCTCAAAGCCATTTTTAATGACAAGGTGATATATAGCTCAGGTTGGTCTTGAACTCTATATAGCCAGGGACAATGTTGAAGCTCTGCTCCTCCTGCATCCACTTCTTGAGTTCTAGTACTAAAAGCATCTACTACCATATTCCGTCAATTTAATACTGGGGCTCACACCCACAAGACCATGTATTTTGTCTAACTTGCTTATGTCCCTAGCCTTTAGTATATTCTTCAGTATATAGTCTTCACTTGATTCCATCTTATCCCTCTATATTCAACAAATCTGTGGTTCTAAATCTCATCACCATTTTGAACCTAATTGTGAAGTCTTCCTGTTTTCACACACCACTGAATAACAGGGCACAGCCACAGCTTGACCCATAACACACCATCCTGGCAACATTTGGAGTAACTGGTCTTTCCAGTACTAAGGTAGGTGTTATAATTTGTGGTATTGAATAAGAAATGCCTCAACTAGACCTTGACATTTGATCACTTGTTTCCCACTTGATGGCACTATTTCAGAAGATTTATGAGGCACAACCTTTCAGGAGGTATGTCACTGAGTGTGGGCTTTGAGAGGTTTTAAATTCTTTTTTTAAATTTATTCATTTATTCTATATCCTGACCAGTTTAGCCTCCCTCCTTTCCTCCAATCCTTCTCCATCCCCAACCCCAAATCCACTCCTCCTCTGTTTCTGTTCAGAAAGGTGCAGGCCTCAGCATGGGTGTCAACAAAGCATGGCGTATCAAGTTCAGGTAGAGCTAAACTCTTCTTGTATTAAGGTTGGACAAGGCAATCCAATAGGAGGAATAGGTCCCTAAAATTCAGCCTAAGAAGTAGGGATGAGCCCCGCTTTCATCACTAGGAGTCCCACAAGCAGAAAAAGCTATACAATTGCCATACATGTGTAGAGGACCTAGGTCAGTTCCATGCATGATCTTTAGATGTCAGTCCAGAGTCTGTGAGCTCCTATGAGCCCATGTCATTTGTTTCTGTTGGTACCTTTGGGATGACCTTGACCTACTTGGCTCATCCAATCCTTCCTCTGACTCTTCAGTAGGATTTCCTGAGCTAGGCCCAGTGCTTGGCTCTGGGTCTCTCTATCTGTTTCTTCAGGTCACTGGATGGAGGCTCTCTGATTACAATGTGGTGAGTTACCACCCTGCTTACAGGAGATGGCCAGTTCAGGCTTCCTATCCACTATTGCTAATAGTCTTAGCTCGAGTCATCCTTGTAGATTCATGGGAGTTTCTCTTACCAGGTTTCTACCTGACCCCAAATGCCTGCCCTCAAGATGTCTCTTTCATTACTCTCCCACTCCAACTATGCCTCCAGCCTAATCTCTCATGTTCCCATCCCAGTCAACCCATCCCTTTGGGCCCTCCTTGTTACCTAGTCTCTATGGGGCTGTTTATTCTAGCATGGTTACCCTTTACTTTACAGCTAATATCCACTCTTGAGTGAGTACATACTATGTTTGTCTTTCTGTGTCTGGGATACCTCACTCAGGATGATTTTTTCTAGTTCCTCCAGTTCCCTCAAATTTCCTGATGTAATTGATTTTAACAGTTGAGCAATACTCCATTGTGGAAATGTACCACATTTCCTTTGTCCATTGTGTGGCTGAGGAGCCCCTAGGCTGTTTCCATGTTCTGGCTATTGTGAAAAACACTGCCATGAACATAGTTGAACAACTGTTCTTATGGAGAGATTGAGCATCCTTTGGGTATATGCCCAAGAGTGGTATCGCTGGGTCTTAAGGTAGATTGATTTTCAGTTTTCTAAGAAACCTCCATATTGATTTCCAAAGTTCCTGTACAAGTCTAGACTAAAACTAGCAGTGGAGGAGTGTTCCCCTAGATCCACATCAAAAGGTTAAGTTCTTAAGTCACTTCCAGCTTCTTGTCTCTGCTTCCAGCTTGTAGTTGAGATGATCTCTCAGCTTCATGCTGCTATAGCCCTGGCTGCCACTTGTTACCATTGCTTCCTTTCTCCCATCATTTATTCATATTCATCTAGAATAATAAGCCAAAATTAAGTTCTCTCTGCTTACTTAAGTTGCCTTTGTTCGTGATGTTTTATCACAGCAACAGAAAACTAACAAAAATGTTGGTCTTCCTACCACACCACTCATTTGTGGATTCTCTTAGTCTTTTTTTCGTTGGCTTCCCATACTTTGTCCTGACTGTCCACCATTTTGTTAAGATGCATCTTTCCAAATATTATAAATCCTATTTTCTTTATTATCTTAAAAGTATTTTCATAGGCATGGATTCTTAACGCTTTGTAAATGTGTTTAACTTTTATTGACTTACAATAATTATATATAATTATTATGACATTTTCATATATATGCAGGTATTTTTCATCAAATTAATGGCCCACCAACCTCTCTTCTGCTGTTCCCACTCTTCCTGATCCTTTTTCTCTTCCCAACTAGCTCTGCTTTCTACTTCCATGTCCCTTTTCTGCATGTGTCTGTTTGTATGCAGTGAGGTCCATTGGGGTTGCTTACTGGAGCACAGAGAAGGAGTCATTTACAGGAACATGGGTATCTCACCAGTAGCTCCAATACTGAAGAAAAATACCTCTCCTTCCACTAGCAACCACTAACTGCCTATAGACCATGGAAGGATGGGGGTCTCATGAGCCCTGCCCCCTAACTACACTTGACTGCTCATAAAGCCACAGGAAAGTGGTGGATACTTGGGAGTACTTTCTCTCTCCTTGACAGAGTATTTTAGGGCCCAATCTTGTGCAGGTCTTGTACAGTAATCCCACCTACTAAGAGTTAAAATGTGCTGTGGCCTTGTCGTGTCTAGAAGATAATATTCCACATAATTCTACCCCATATTTAAGCTTTTACATCATTTCCATACCTTCTTCCTCCATGTTTCTTAAGGCTTCATGGCGGGGTCTAGATCATCTCATTTGGTGAGCACTGAAAAAGACCTTATTCTCAGCATTTTGGCCAATTTTGTGTCTCCAAAACTGCTCACTTCAAGAAGAATCTTTTTTTTCAACCAAGCTGACAGTAGTGATATATAAGGAGAAACATAGCTATTTAGAAGAGAATTTGATGTGTACATCAAGTCCATTCAGCAGAACAACAGTGATAGCTTCAACCCTAGGACCTATTCCCTCCACAGCATGTATATTCAACCACATTGAGTGCACCACATTTGAACTCTTCTCAATCAGAAAATGATTGGTTACCCTGATACCACAATTTCCATTATTGCACTACTGGACATGCCTTGTAAGGCTGGTTGAAGTATCGATCACAGTGTCCACAGCTGAATACCATGACTATTGATGAGAGTCTCCTACTATCAGACTGCACAACACTTTCTGGCTCTATGAGAGCTATTGTGCAGGAAGGCATATTTCAGCCAATTCCCAGCTTGCTTTCTTTATGTATTTTGATAAGAATATGAGGATATGTTTAGAAATAGGGTCTTAACTAGTTTTAGGGGACACTGGCAACAGTGACAATTGCCTATATTATTTGGTTCGTTGGGCCTTTCTAGGCAACAAATCCTAGGGAGGTATCCCACCACTAGCAATGGAGTTTTTATTTAATAACCTATGACTTCTGAGAGCAGTACTGTAGCTTGACTTACACTTTTTAATGAACTTACAAACGAATAAGTTTCCATAAGGCATTGTCATATATTCTTGGATTTGGTTAATTTTTTTTTTGAGAAAGGGTTTCTCTGTGTAGCTTTTTGCCATTCCTGGAACACACTCTGTAGCCTAGGCTGGCCTTTAACTCACAGAGATCCGCCTGTCTCTGCCTCTCTAGTGCTGGGATTTAAGGCATGCACCACCACCCCTGGTGGTTTTGATTAATTTTATTCCTCATCCTCTCACCCCATCTTCACATTAACCCACTCAGTCTCATATTCCCTCCCTTCACATTCATACCATAGATATTCTGGAATTTCTCTTTTCTTAAGGTCTCTTTTTCATGTTCCCCATCTAAGGGCCCTTTCCAGTTTCCTGTACTTATAATGCACTTCAAGTTAAACACACTAAGAACTTGTCTAAGATCCTTATATGACAGAGCACATGCAATGGCTGCCTGTCTATGCTGGGCTTACCTCATTAGGTATATTTTCCAGTTCCATCTATTTTACTGAGAATTTTATAATTTCATCTTTATAGCTGAAGGAAATTTAATTGTGTATATACATTACAATTTCATTATCTACTTTTCAGTTTATGGGCAGGTAGGGTGAACCTGTTTACTAGCTATTGTGAGTAGAGTTGCAATGAACACAGATGTTTGAGTACCTGCATAGTTGTACATATCTAAGTATATAATAGACTATACCTAAATAATTTGAGTATATACCTAAGAATTGATAGCTGGGTCATATGGAAGTTCTCTTTTCAGCTTTTTTTAGTAAACTCCACAGTGATTTTAGTAGGGGTTGTATCAGTTTGCACTCCCACCAACATTTCTCTTTCCCCACATTTTCTTCATAAATTTTAAAAACTAAGCTTTATTATGAAGAAACTTGTAAATAAGTAAAAACAAGATACACCTAAATTAATGAGACTCTAAGCCTATAAACTTGATGGATACAAATTGTATATAAAATACAGTTAGATTTGATATTAAAAAGAGAAGCTGCTAAGAGTCACATTACATGTTATACTTTCAATATCACTTATATTGCACTCAATTTTCCTTCACTAAAACTGAAAATCTGTGACAAATTTATAACTAGAACACTGTAACCTTATATTGTCTCTCAACACTCTCATCCATTATCTGCATCTAGTCCTTTCTCATCCCCTTATATTTGGAGAAAACCAAAATGGCTAAGAAACACTTAACAAAATGTTCAACATCCTTAGCCATCAGGGAAATACAACTTAAAATGACTCTCAGATTCCACTTCAACCTGTCAGAATTGCTAAGATAAAAAACACAAGTAACAGCTCATGATGGAGAGGAGG